GATACTCGACAAGACGTCGGGATTCCAACGTCGGTGTAGAAAGAATGGCGCAATGCAAGACCAGATTGTCTGTCGCAAGTTGTGTCAGCATTCGGAGATATATAAATAAACAGAGTACGTACTTGCTGCATTTAGCCAGTTCATGAGAGACTTCTCAATGCCACTCGTTGACTTTGCTAGGAGCTTCAGCCTATGGTCCCGCTCATGAGACGCGGAAAACTCGAGATAATGTCTGCTTGGGGCAGTGCTCATGTACCATTCAGTGCTCTTCAGACTGCCCAGAACGGCAGAAACAAGTAAGGGCGAGCTTTTATTCGCGGGATTGCGCAGTTGTCCGCGCCCAGCAGCTGCCCAGTCTGCTCTCTTCTTTCCGTGGATAGAGAGCCCTTGGTAGTATTTTGGCTTTTCATGATCCTGAACGCCGCTTTCCTGGACAAGAGCATCCAATGGGAGGTCCGCTCCTGCTCTCCTGATAAGTTCTTCAAGGCAGCGGAGTCGACCCTCTGCTATAGCTAGATGAACTGTTTTATTCGCCACTCCAAAAGCGGTGAACTCAGAACTGGTGTCCATAGAAGCCAGTTCTTCTCCAATTTCAAGTAAGAAGACAAGCAACTTGACATTGTCCATCCAAATGGCATACTCGAAAAGGTCAGATGGCTTGCCAAAGGGGCTCTCGCGACATTTAGCCTTGACTTCCGGGCTGGTGAACCATTCGGACTTTGGGCAATACCACTTTAGTACCTGAAGCGGAGTAATATGGCTCTCCACCTGTGTGGCCACTTCACCTATGTCGTCTATGGTAAACTTATCATCAACAATCTCGCTGTAGATGCGAAGATTGCCACTATCCTCCAAGTCTTCACCACTGCAATCACTGCCTATCTCAAACCTCTCGTGGCCACTAGGCTCCTGTTCTTTATACTGTGCTTGAACAATTTTCAGGATTGCTTTCGCCACATCCAGGTGACCCCGAAGTGCTGCGATTGAAAAGGGGGAGAGTCTATTAGAGTCTGTTATAGCAATTCGCAATGGAGGCTGTCCATTACCGTCACCCCACATGGCCAGTGTGAGAGACTTAATGGTGTCTAAGTCACCATGCCAAGCTGCCTCAAAACTTCACGATGTTAGTTGTCAATCAATGCCAAGGGACCGGTTACTAGGACACTCACAGTTTGATGTATCCACCCTTCCTTTCATCAGTGAGATCAGAGATATTGAATGTAAATTCCAGTTCGAAAGGGTCATCACGGTTCCTGTTTGGCGACGATGACCCATCGTCATCATTCGGTGTTTCAAAATCGGGAAACAATTCCTTGAACGTCTTGGCGCCTTTCTCGGACAGCGCAGTTTCTAACTTCTCGTATCGTTCAACTAGGTCCTGTATCGAGTGCAGCTTCGACTCGACCCCTTTCCTGTTTTGAGAATCGCTGATTCTTTGTTCATATGCTTTCAGCCTTTTCTCGTATGATTTCTTTGCCTTGCTCAATTCCCGCTCCGCCGTCCACAATTGATATGTGTTAGCTTCAAAACCGTTCAGGTAGAAGGAATCAGGCTCAAGTGGCCGTGGCGCAGATAGTCCAACCACTTCGCCTTGGTATCCCTGCAATTCCTTAATCTTATCACGAACACAGTCCAAGAGAGATGTGCCATGGAGACTATCTCGCACGTAGTCATCATCCTCCACTTTATATCCGTCTGGCGACAACGTGTTCGGATCAACCCCACGAGTCACTAGTTCTAGAGCCACTTCTGGTAATTCTTTCTGAACAGCTAGAATCACGGGCTGCGTAAAGTTCTGTCTGAAAATCTCACGATTCCTTTCTGATGAGTTTTTACGTATGCTGTCCAGTACCTGACCAGACTTCACAAACTCCCCAAAGTCGATCGAGGGCTCAGCACCAGCTTGGAGAAGCTTCAATGCACCGATTGGATTCTTCGTATTGATTGCGGTCATAAAGGCGGAGTAGGCATTAGGGTTCCAGGAATATCCAATAAAGGCAAGGTGGTTAATCGCTTTCAGTGTGACTGGTTTGTTCTGATCGAGGAAGACATCAATAAGGTCGTCATATGTTGAGGCAGCAATGTAGTGTAATGGCGTGTTGTATTTGAGGTCAGCCTGGGCTGGTGAGGCACCCAACTGTAGAAGCTTCTTGGCCATCGCTTTGGCATTTTCTAGAGGGAGTTGAAGCGTGAGTACTAGTGTCAGAATTGCACTTCTTGCGCTGTTGTTTCGGCTGTTCAGCAACTTTATGGGGAGCAACACGTCAGCTCCGAAAGACGCGACGAGTTCTTCCACCGCGTCAACATGGCCGTTGAGGATAGCAAGGTGTAGAGGGGATGTACGGCTGTCCCAGGACACGGCATTTATATCATAGAAATCTGGTTCTTGCACATTCTCATCTTCAGGTGGACTCTCAGTGCTGGTAGCATCGTCACCTTCTTTTTGGACTTTGATAAATGATCCCGATGTATATGAGGTTGCGTCCACTTCCATACTAACTGTTTCGATGTCATCTGGCTCGCTTCGCGCTTCGTCGGCTCCATGCTGACTATCTTGGGCTACTTTTGCTTTGCGAAGCTCCTGCCTTTTATCCTCTTCGGCTTCATTTTCTTCGCTTTTTAGCAGCAGTATTCTAATAATCTCAACATTGCCTCGAGCAGCTGCGATATGCAGAGCAGTCCTGCCATCTGCCAAGCGAGGAATTAATCTCGCACCGTGATTGACAAGGCATTGTACAATATTTGGTGTTGAAGCCATACAAGCCAGATGCAGCGGGGTCCGTCCCGTATAGTCGCGACCGTTGGGATCTCTTTCTTCTTGAGAAAGCCACTCCTTGACAGCAGCAAGATCATGGTCGACTATAGCCTGGCATAGGTACTCGGTATTGCCCACATAAGCCATCTCTGCTCTGGCGATTAGTAGATGCCACAACAGTTCAACGGAAACATAGAACACAAACCTGTCCAGTCGGTCTCTGTAATAGGGTTAAAGCTGCCAATTTCCTGGCGTCCGGGATCATCTTTAATGAATGAGATATCTCCAGAGATGTAGTTTTTGCCCTCTTTCTCTGCGACTTCCTTTTCTTCTGGAGTCACAGGTTCAGGACAAGAACCACAGCAGTCGTGGATTACATCCTCCACATTACCAAAAAATGCCGGATGCCGATGCAGATTGACGTCCCTGTCTTTTGGTCTGTTCCATTCTGCATTGAGAAGTAAGTCCTTCGTGTATACCAGTCGCTCGATCCTCTTGGCATGGAACTTCGGCCCATAGGGAATCGTCTTCGAGTGGGGTCAGCAAGAGCCCTATCTGATGGGGGAAGGTATAACACACCATAGTATGATAGTCTGAATATTCATCCCCCTCCATCCACTCAGGAGTTTCATCTTCCCAATCATTTTTAATGTTACCATTCAGTGACCTGAGGCGTCGCATCTGCTGTTGTCGAGCCGGGCGGCCACGCTCCTCTCGTCTCTGCTCTAGATAGGCGTCCCTATCGGATGACTTCGGTAACCTTTCCAGCACTAGAAGACGCGCTAGGCCAACGGTCCTTGAAAAGCTCCTCTCATAGATTGTCTAGAAGCAAGTTAGACAGGAGCCACGCGCTTAGGAAAGGGGAGGCCTTACTGGATCGATACGGCTCCGCTCTAGCTGTGGACAGAATATTTCAAAGCCTCGGTGTGAATATTTGGAAAGGCGGTTCTCATAAGATGGTGAGCGTCTAGTCAAATCGATCGTATTCGTCTGGGTGATATATGCAGAAAGGGCACGTGGTGAAGCATAAACTTGCTTACCATCGAAAGCGGCACAGGAACAGTCAACATCGAATCCAGTCAGGATCTCCGAGATAGACTTGTATATACGAAGGACAATCTGTACGTGGCGTGTGGGGTATTGTGAGACAATAGTAATTGTGTTCTTGGTTCGTATCGTTGTCGTCTCATAAAGAATGGCGTTTTTGATCTTCTCTTCAATCTGTTTGATTTTTTCGATTGCTTGTTCTTCGGTCAAGCCATACAGGAAGAGGTCGACATCAGATGCGGGTGCGTACTTGTCATGGTAGAACTGTCGTAGGGCGCGCTTTGAGCCACGGTACTCTTCCGGGACTGGCATGAGGCAAGTCACCACGGCACTTCCTGCCACGACGACATTGCTCCAGTCCATGTCGCTCAATGATCCTTCTGAGAAGATGTTGAAATTATGCCGAAAGCCCTCTAAGCTCGACACCACCGCAGGATCACCTGAAGCCCTGCGAGATTCTGCCTTCAGGGGCATGATATATTTTTCCTGAAGGTCGGCTGATTCTGAACCTGGATCTCGAGGCCGACTTAGAACAATGCTCTTCCCACTCGTGTCATAGAGCGGCACGATATTGAGGTGATTGTCCCGTAGCGCGGGATGGGACGGCTCCTGAGCAAAAAGCTTCCGTACGACAGCTTCATACTCGTTGTATGGCTTAAGGAGCTGAGCAATTGGTGTATCCTGGTTTCTATTGATCCAGCCAATGAGATCCTGGTGTTTTGCTGGCAATGATGGAAAAGAATGTGTCGCTGCCATGATGTTCGCCGGCAGAGCCCAAAACTCGAACACGATAATATCGAAGAGGAAGAAAAATAGTATTCAAGTTGACTACAGGTTTGGAGCACCAGAAGCTATTCACAGAGGAAAAGAAAATAAATCGAACGCATCCATTTCCACCAGCAGTTCGAAGCTTCCTTAAATCAAATTTCCAATCAACTAAAGTTTAACCCGCTCGGCGGCAGAATTGGTACCGCTCTCCAGGCATACGGTCCCACTGATTCGTCTAAATCTAGGCACTACTAGGCAGGATAAGGCAACCTAATGGGGATCCTGTCGATCTCTCAAGCTCTCGGTTAGATGCCTGGCGCCAGCGCTGCGATCAGCTCCCCACTCCTGACGCCAACAATATGATCTCGATCTGATTTCCACAATGAAGAAAAGTATCCGACTCGTAAATTCGTAAAGGAGACATCACTGGTTATCCACAGCGGCCAAACCATATTTTTTGTCCCCCTAATGCTGGCTCTAACTCCATCCCGAGTTTCCGTGCCGTCCCCGCTGAGTCGACATAGAATTCAGCCCGGAGGCACTCAGACATAGTGGCTGTACACATTCTCGCCACGAAAAATTCCCCCGCTGTATGTTCCAAATGGATAGTCATCGCTTCCACTCGGTCGCTTAGGTCCGCCTGCAATTGTCCATCTTCAACCCTCAGTGCAATGATACCATACCCCGGATGGCTATAGATTCCAGTATACGCATGCAATGGGAGGGAGTGGGGAAGTACCCTGGCAGGCAGAGAAGGGAATAATCGTTTCTTTGCCTCGCAGATGCTTTCGGATCTTTTTTCCGTGATGTCGGACATCCTCTTCGTCATATGTTGGACAAACTGTCCCCGCTCACTACCCGACACTCCCAGTAATGTATCGATGAGGTATAGATATAACTCCAACTGCGCGTTTCTAGCCTTTTGAGTATTCCCCATTATTGCAAACCCAAACTGCTTCTCAGCTATGAAGCCCACCATGATTCCGAATCCAGCCCAGCTTCCGCTATGCCAGTATAATTGTTGACCCCGATAAGTGTCCACAAACCAGCCTAGAGCGTACAAGTGATAGGGTGCGGGTGGGTATACAGTATCTTTATCATCTTTGGAGACTACGGTCCGGGGATGAATGATCGATGCATGTCCTTCTGGCGATATTGGTGCTGTTTTGTATATCATGGCTCGCAACCATTTTGCGTAATCAAGAACATTGCTAACCATGGCCCCTGTTCCAGTCGTGGGTGCATAATTCATATGTGGCTCAGCCACATAGCAGCCCTTTTCTGGAACCCACGTGTAGCCTTGGACCAACTTTGGACTAGTTAATGGACATTTTTTGACATCCTGGACAGAAAAGTACGTGTCCTTCATATTAAGTGGGCTCCAGACGCGCTTTCGTAGGAACTCGCCCAGTGATTCGCCTGTGATTTGCTCCAAGACATGAGACACTACCATAAACATATGGTTGCAATAGTCGAATGTTGTTCGCGGTGGATACGCCAGCGGAAGGTGTCTGATTTTCCGGACCGCTTCACGCAATGTTTCGTCCGGATATGCGCCTGTCATCGCAAATATATGACCTGGTAAGCCAGATCGATGTGACAGAGCATCTTCCAGTGTAGTGTTCATTGTGGCATTGTCGTCAGCCAGAACAAAGTCATCTCGAATTAAGGATACTATTGGTGTATCCCATCTGAGAGGTGAGGGGGTCTCTTTTCTGTCATCCATTACCATGGATACCGCAGCAGCAGTGAAGGCTTTGGTGGTGCTGCACGTGGTGAATAGAGAGTCAACAGTCATCTTCTTGTCTGGGAATTCTGCAATGCCATAGGCCTGTGTCACTCAGTACAAATTCATGTGGCCGCTTAATCATTCACGTACTTTCGCATAAGTGCTCGAGCCGTGAACCACGGAGATTGTAATGCCGGGCACCTTCCATTTCTCCAACTGCTTCTGTACTAGGGAGTCAAATTCCAGCGTGAAGGGTGAGGGAGACTGTCGTATGGTCATGATGTTACGTAGAACTGTCAGTTAGGTGGTAGTGCTTTTCCTGTGCGGAGAAGAGGACAGACGTGGAATTTAGGTAAACGGCCCGGCATACCGCTACATAATCGTGTAGGTATAGCGCGCGAACCACCTGACCAGGCGGCTGCATCTTTCGCTTATCTGCGGGGGCATTGCAAGCTAGTAGTAGTAAAGTTGGCACGAACATAAGCACTAACAACATTAGCTTGGCATGCACAGTCATTTCATATGAATTCTATAGTACACCTTCGTCATCTGCTCTGCTGTGAGTAGCGTAGCAGAAGAGCACGATCATGCTTCTAGATTATATTCTGATAGTCTATGAGATAAATACACGCCGTACACCATAGAGATCAAATCCTCATATGCATGCTTCCTCTCTCCGTCGAAGACCTTGTCCCCAAACGCTCTTCAACGCACGTTTCAAATCATCTCTCCGTCCGCTGTAGGATACTTTCATGTCGCCTTGGCCGACATCAAGCTTCATCGTTTTGTAAAAAGTCTCATCAAGAGTATCAACTTGTGCATCCCATTCTGCATTCGCCCTCGTTGACCATGAAAGCTCCCTGGACACCCGTGGTTTAGCAGGTCTGGAATTGTTCAGGCGTATGAGCAAATCATCAAGGCCGACCCGTAGCTGTCCCTGGTCTTCTACAATTTCAGATACCAGCCCTAGTGACTTCAGCTTTTCCGCCGTGGTGGAATGAGTGGAGAAAACTGCGTTGCGTATAAAAGCGCTCTTCCACTTCGAGCTAGAATTCCTAGCTTCTTTAAATGTCGCCTCGGTATATGTCAATGTTGCTTCCCTAAGGCTAATCCTGACATCACAAGCAAGTGCTAACTCGACACCGCCGCCGAAAGCGTGACCATTTATGCATGCAACTGTCGTTTTGGGTGAACATCTCATCAATTCCAGCAAGGCAGCAAGATGCTTTACCCGGGGATTTCTTGAAGCACTCTGGGCAATGAATGGCATAGTCTTTCCAATTTCCATACCCATGCAGAAGTATCCCCCGGTTGCAGTGATGATAATGTTCAAGAGGGAAGGGTCCTTGTTGCAACTTGCGATGATAGCTATAAGGTCCGCGACCATCTTCTGCGTCAACGTGTTGCCCCTTTTCGGTCGATTGAGTACAATCTTAAAATTGCCACCCGAGCGATATGTTAGTAGTCTGCCCTTGGTGTTCACTGGGGACCAAGAAATTACTGCCTTGCTCTGGGTGTGGTCCGTATGGTGCGGTGGGCACACTAGTCCGTGTGTGTTTGCGAGCGCTATTCCAGCTCGACTTGCATTCTCTCTTGACAGTCTTGTGGATATCCACAGGCCAGTTTCCACCAGCTTGAGCATATCAAGGCCAGTGTCAATCCCCGCATTGTGAAACATATAAGCTAGGTCTTCTGTGGCAACATTTCCCTTGGCACCCGGTGCATAGGGGCAACCTCCCAGGCCGCTGATACTGCTATCAAACACACGAAGTCCACAATTATATGCTTCCCAAGTGTTGGCTACAGCTTGGCCGTACGTATCGTGGAAATGGCCCGCCAGCAAATCGAGAGATACGTCATGTTCCTCCAGATACACCAGAAGACTTCGTACTTTATCGGGGGAGCCGACACCTAGTGTGTCTCCAAGGCTAACCTCATAACATCCCATCTCGAGCAGCTCTCTCACGCAGTGAAGCACTGCAGATGGCGCCGTTGGGCCGTCAAAAGGATCGGAGAATATGCATGATACATATCTTCGCAAAACGTCAGCCTCGACTTCTCATGCCTCCAGTGACACAAACTTACCCCCTGACAGCCAGGCCACAGCTGGTAGCCTTCTCTGCAATATTCCTCGCTCTTTCTAAGCCCTCCTTCACAGTACAGTTGACGTTGGCCTTACTGAACCCTTCCGTGGCGCTGATAAAGACCGCAACCTCCTTAACACCGCATTCGAGTGCAATATCCAGACCCTTCATATTGGGAACTAACACTGGAAGACGAATATTAGGTTCCTTCCGCAGTGACTTGATATCTTCCATGCGCAGCACATCTCGACAATCCGATAACTGTGGAACCGCTCGAGGGGAGACTACCGACGTCAACTCGATGGTTTGCAGACCCGTTCCGCGGAGTCGTCTAATTAACTCGATCTTTACTGACGTTGGCACATGGTCTTTGATATTTTGTAGGCCGTCCCGCGGTCCTACTTCCACGATACGCACGGCGCCTCTAGGGTCTTTCATTGCGGGTGCGGCATTCGGGCGAACTAGCGAGCGAATGGGGCCGTGAGTGTCGTGAAACTCCAGCACCATACCATTTCGTAACAGTTGCCTCGCAAAATCAAATTCAGAAAGGTTTCCTTCGGGGCGTGAAGATAATACTTATACTGGATGTCAGCATTCGGCAGTGCGGATGTTCTGGCCCGACAAAATGTCCCCGCAAGCAGGTGGATGACGACATCCCGGGCGCCTTACCCCGTATTATCCTAGTCTGTCGTCGCACCTCGGAGTGGCGGATCAATTGAATGTCACCCTACGATCGCCGAGGCTCGAGGCTGCCGAACGTTCTAGTTCTTTACCTCTACCAGAGTTTCACTCTCTGACTGTGCTGACTTTGTCTGACCATGCGTTTTTCTGGCAGGACTTATCAACGACTTGTCGACAAATCAAGTGACGTCTTCTCCCCATCCTTTTGTTGAATGTAACATTTGAGAATCTTTGAGTTTAAGCATCGGGCTTCGGGGGGAAGTACCTGTGACGTGATTGCTTAGTCTGGTGCGGCGCAGGGACCATTTTCGTTTCCCGTGAATTTCGTATTGATTGAAATGACATTCTTCTCCTTTTGGATTCGTCTCCGGGATACATCATTTCACGCTTGTCCGACGGCCAACGTAGTTCATATATTCCTTTTCGCTCCGGCCACAACAGGTACCAGATCCAAGCATGCTATTGGTAACTTTACCTACTGTATCTTGCACGAAAATTCGATCACCAGGACATCCGCACTCCTACAATGTCGGTAGGCTTTGGTGTCATAGACCCTACCAAGTAAGCAATCCCCACATCGACAAGGAGGCAATGCAAGATATTACCAGCGATTGAGATCTACAGCACAATCAGTACCACGAAAATCACAACGCGCACTCGCATTATATCCCGTGCTGATCAGTCATCCGCACGGCTGCAAACCCAAGGTACTGCGGACGAAATATCTCGCTGTCGATTCGGGAGCATCTAACCTGAGTCCAGACGACAGAAATTGTTAGAATGCATTCTACTCGCGAATAAGACAATGGAGATGTTGTGGGATACTTCATCCAAGAGACGATCATGTCTTTTTGAGTCCATGTAAGATGTATGGGTAGCCAGTCGTCAGGGTATTGATAATCACATTAGCAGAAAGGGATAAGGAATAAAATGCCATTGCTGTCGTAAGATTCTCTATAAGGTTAGCTTATGGACAGCTATGGAGGGGAAGGAGACAGAGGTAGCTACCCATTACTACGTAGATTGACTGCTATAGGTGGGATAGCTAATAACAGAAACAGAGGTAAACTGAAGATGAAAAGAATGATACAGATTGAAGGAAATAATGAAAATAATTTCCCTTCTCTGCCAGTATCCGTCAGAGGGTACTGTGAGATCACTAACAGGTGTTCCCAGGAAAAATCCGGGGCCCAGGGACTTTATTACTAGGATCGTCTCTGCCCTTACACACCCTTTCCCAGGTCGCTGGAAATGGGGGTCAAGTGACGGATTCGAAGGTAGACCTCCTGGTACAGTGGTCGTAGTTTTGTAAGACAGTGTTGACCACTGTACCATCCGGGTCTCTATTGTCATACGCGTTGTTCCCTCAAAACACAAGAAAGACTGTTTACCCGATTAGGAAGGTGTGGGTTCCTAGGGGAGAGGGCTGCAAATGTGGCCTTCTTGGAGGCAGATCCTCGCTCAACGCTATGTCTCAACATTGGAGCGCTTTTGTTTCAAGTTGGGATTCGAGTAGGTTTTGATAAGTAGTATGAGGTGGTTTCCGGGAAGTGGAATGTATATGTAATGTTGCAATAGGAGCATCGACCATTAGTGAGCCATTACCCTCTCGAAAGGCCTTAGCGGTCTTGTCTACTACTTATTATATAAACAGGTATAAGGGGATCAATCGGATAGGATCTGAGGGTAGCAGTGTAATGTCCTTATCGACTATGTAATGCTTCCTGGGACTCAACGTCAGCTTCCATACACTTGGTCTATATCCCCAAGCCACAGCAAAGCCAGAGTATATACACATTATGGGGATTTATCCTCTATAAGGCTAAAGAAACTGACAACTTTTGAGAGATATAGGGCACAGGGCTAGGGTTGGATCACATGCCACTATTCCCGATGGGGCGAACCTTGAGAGATGCGGCCTGAAAGCCTCGGCCATGACGGTGAATGCAGAACTCCACATTTTACTCCAGGTTTGTTGTGGAGATCTTTTGTACTGCGTAGTATCCATTCACTACTAGTGTCTCTTGGCTTAGTTAGTTATTGGGGGTTTTCTGCCGAGCTACGCCTTCGCATTGGTCATCCCGCTAAAGTCCTCCATGACAAGAAGCACCGCTACTGGAACCAATGCGCTAGTAACTGCCTCCAGCTAGTGCTCGATATGTGACTGGCTACTAGTGCATCCCTCCTTCCCCAGTTTGTCTCGCGTGAGGTCTCTGCTAGTAAACAGCTCGTATCTGTTTGTTCCTGATCCTTTGGTTCCGATTGTTCCGGGCAGAGCATATAAATACTGGTTAATTTCCCCATTCTCACCTGTCACTCAGACGAGGAATCGCCCAAAATCTGAGATCTGCGCATTGTTGCCTTTGGCATATTCAGAGACAAGATGCAGCTGCAGACTCTCGCCGGTTTCCTACTTCTCGGCTCGCCAGCTCTGGCAGCTCCGACCGCTACAGGTCCTCCAACTACGAGCTCACTGGGACCTCTGCGCGCCTTGAACTACAATAACCTCGGCCCTGAGAACAATGGGACTGCAGCAGTACTCGTATACGACGAATTGTCTCAGACAGAGGCACAAGCACGCTGTGCAGCCATTGGGGAGAATCTCTACCCACTCGAGTCTGCCCCTCAGTCTGAGCGTTCTGAGATAGACTACCAGCTGGCCTACCTCGCCTTTTCAGGAGATATTCATCCAGATAGCCGTTTCTGGGTAGCTACTGGTGGTTCATCGAAAGAGTGTCAAGCGTACTCTCAAGGACAAAAGCGGCTGGTATCGGCATCGTGCAGCTCCAAGCTCCCCGTCATTTGCACATCTAGTGTCCCGCCAACCACCGACAAAGATAGAACTGCCGTCGCCTCATCCAAGATCACCGTCAAAGCAGAGAACTACACCCTGACGGGATATCGCGACGCACGATCGTTTCGGTTCCTTGGTGTGCCTTTCGCAGATGCCCCGGTGAACGAGTTGCGCTTCGCTCCTCCAAAACCTTTCTCTGGTCCTAAGAAACTCGATGCAACCAAAGTGGCCGATAGCTGTATCCAAGCACTGTCGGCCTTTGGAACGCTGGGCAATGGAGACATTTCCGAAGACTGTCTTTACCTCAATGTTTTTACACCCATCTTGCCTGCAGGTTCCCACGATAACTCAACCCGCAAGCCTGTCGCCGTGTATTTCTACGGCGGTGCATTCGTCAGTGGCAGCGCGTCTATGATTGACTACGACGGTGGAAACTTCGCCAGTCGTAACGATGTCGTGGTCGTCACAGTCAACTATCGAGTAGGAGCACTGGGCTGGTTGACCACTGGCAACCTCACAACCGGAAACTACGGGATAAGAGACCAGATCCTCGCACTGAAATGGGTCAACAGACATATCGCAGCATTCGGTGGAGATCCATCCAAGGTGACCATCTTCGGGCAGTCCGCCGGCGGCCAGAGCGTTGTCGCACTGCTGTCCTCAACCGCCGCGCGAGGTCTTTTCTCCGGAGCCATCGCTCAATCAGCACCGGTAGACTTGCCCTGGTTCACGCGCGATATCTACGCGGACGTCATTGTGCCCGAACTATCCAAGGCCGTCGGCTGCAACCGGACCACGTCTGAGAAGGAGCTCTTGTCTTGCCTGCGATCCGTCCCTGAAACCAAATTCATCAGCAACACCACAGAATTCCAACAGGCACAGGCGGCTTGGACCCAGACCCTCGCCTCGGACTACCTCCACGTCAGCCAGCTCCTCGCCGCCATTGAGCCGCTCATGCCCATAGTGGACCCTCGCGGAGGGGTAATCGACGACCAATTCCACAAACTCCTCGCAAGCGAACGCCTCCCCAATCGCGTCCCGACCATGTTCACAACGGTCACCGACGAAGCCTCCCTCTACGTGGCGAAAACGGTGCCAGACCTCGGCGCAAGCCAAACAGCACTCAACGCGGTGCTCAAGGCCGCCTTCCCCGCCAAACTGGCTGAATCGCTCATCAGCTCCAACGCCTTCCCTATCAACATGTCAGACCCAGACAGCACGCGCAATGTCGCCGCCGACGCTCTAACCCACAGCGAATGGAGCTGCGCACAGTCCTACCTCCTCCGCAAAGGCGGCGACCGCGTCTTCCCCCAGCTCTACGAAGTCGAGCTCACCAGAGGCCACATCCAGACCAACGTCTCTGTGCCCGAGATCTGCTCCCCAAACAACAACTACAATGCCAGCTGCCACGCCTCAGACGTGCTCCCCGTCTGGGGAACCCTCAACAGCAAGACCCGCAACGTAGACCCCTACTACGATCAGGATGACATCCTCCATTCGCAGCTGCTCAATGATGTCTTCGGCTCATTCTTCCGCTCTCGCAACCCGAACCCGGACCAGGCCTTCTTGCAGGTCCGTGGCCCGGCCTATGCGTCTACGTATGAGATCTTCGTGACGAACGGGTACCGGGTGCCTGAGTATCGGCCTGAGCAGCGAAATGTCAGTTTGTTGGGCATGCCGCCGTCTTGGATTGATAATCCCGGTCTGTCGAGGAAGTGTGCTGTGTTTGAGGATTACGGGTTCACGTTTCAGAATGCCAACTTTACGGCTTAATGCTTAATACTCACATATGGAGGAGATGGATGGTATGAGGTTAATGAGGTGAGATAACGATTGTAGATGTTAATGTAGTATACGCACTAGGAACCTTATATGATTCATTAATGCAGTAATGCATACCGTTGACTGAAAAGAAGCGAGATTCTAATCTCTAGTCTGTTGTAAGTCGTAATCGTGATATCTGAAGCTCACGCAAGTCATGCTTGAAAAAAAAAAAAAAAATGCAAAAACAGCCTCCCAGAAACAGAAACATAATGTAATCACCGAAATAGCCTTCCCATCGTCATATCAATTCAAGATTCCATGCATCATTATCATCATCAATCGTAATTCGTAAAGTGGAGCCGGACCAACTTAGGGCCGAATCCCAGAGCTTTGATGTCAGGATTGCAAGCCCAAGTCTGCGGCGTTCAAGTAGTAGTCCGACTAGCGTTAGTCGGGTAAGCTGTCGTTAGTAAGACTGTCGGTATTTGATAAGCTTCTACTTAATCAAATCAAACACTAATCATTACTGTCGCGTTGCGATGTTCGATTTTGTACCTTGTTAGCGATCATACATGGCTGTTCTCCTGCCTCGGGCATATTCGACGTCTGCCGGTTGAACGGGCACGCCTCTCTTTGAAGGGCTCTGGACGGGTGCCGCCCACCTAGGGTTCCGGGGATCGATATAGCGCGCGCGCTCGGCCGTACAGGTACTGTTTCCGTTTGAGTTGGCATTAGTGGATCGGTGATAGCTATTACGTCGGTCGCTCATTGGCTCGAGATCTGGATGGGGATGGACGATGTAGGTATCACCAGCGCCGACGTAGCGAGAATGCATGCGGGTAAATACGGGCACTTCACGGCCAGGTGGGAAAGTGGGCGGCGGGTCGCTGACGACGCGCTCGCGAAATCCAACGCCTGATGCTCTTTGCTGGAGTGGTTCATCGTTGTATGCTTTGGAGATACGTATTCTTCGCGCCCCATCGGAGTCGTATAATCTTCCAGGGTTGGAGTGATATGTATCAGAGTGTGCGGGGTGTTTGTGGGGATCAGGCGATAAATCCTTTCGAGGTCGGCGGGCGTATGCTTCGTGCGAGTGGCGACGCGTATGGGACACTTGCGGCGGTGATAGATTGCGAGGGTAGCTGTATCGATCTGACCTTGGAGGCTCTGGTACTGCTGATCCCGAATCTTCGGAAGATGCATCCGATCCTCCAAACCCTGGTACTGTTCCTGGACTCACAGATCGCCCGTAAGCCTGTTGGCGCTCGCGCGTCCGCGACTTGGTGGGCTCTTTCGCCCACATTGGTGGCGATGATGGTCGAGATGAATACCCGGGGTTGAGGTTTTCAGATTGTCGCGGAAAGTATGTAGATTGTACCCTGCGAGTAGTGGAGGGGGGCTTTTCGTCGCTTCGTCGGTGACGGTGTTTATGGGGGTTTCGACGCTCACTCGCGGAAGTAGGCTCTTGACGGTGAGGGGTAGTTCGACGCTGACTCCGAGGTGATTCGTCTTCTTTTTGGGTCGGTACATCCTTCTGGCTGAAGTACGAATGGTAAGGAGCGAAATTTGGAGGGGCGGAACGCATGATATTCTTCTTCCAGTAGTCCAGCTCAAATCGTCGGCTGACCTCTTCATGCCATTGTACCATTTCCGGATCGGGTTCCGCTGGGAAGGCTCCTCTAGGGATCACCTTGGGGAAAATTCCACCATTTGGAGTCTCAATGTCCCATAGATCAACCGCATTCTGTAACCACCTCGAGTGCTCATCGGGGTCGAGAAGAAGCTGAATTGTTTGCCATCGCACAAAGCCATTGGGCTGTAGAGCGGGGATAGAGGGTGGTTTGTAGGGATCATTGGTAGGCTGAATGCTGTGGAAGCATCCTAGGCGCTGGTATATGAACGAAAGAGCGGAAGGTCTCGTTTGGAGGAATAGGACGTCGTAATTACCGCCAACTTTTCGGTAGAACGCTGCCAGGCGGTCGGGAGTCAGGTCCGTTGTCGCGAACTCGTCGAAGGAAGTCTGGACAGAGTTCAGCATTTGAGGCATTGTGCCACCTTCCGCGAACGCGAGGAACTCTCTTTTTCCACTTACCATTACCTGCGCAATTCCCAAGCACAGTTGTTCGAGTAACGGGGTGGGGCTCTTGTCGGCGTTAATCAACACCCCCCAAAAATCAGCGCCCTCATTGTGGATGGAGGACATGGCCGGGCAAGAGTCTGGGCTGCGGCGAAGACATTTGAAAACAGCGACCGCGATCGTTGCATTAATGAAGCCGGAATGACAAGACGAATGCAGCTGGAAAGGTGGGCAGAGTAATACTGCAGCGGTCGATAGGTGCATCCAGTCATGGACAGGAACAGGCCACACTCGGCGGTTAGGCACCCATCGTCATCGCTCCACTGTGGGGGAGCCCAAATGATGATGCTGTTTGTTGGCAGGCGGTCAGCCCGATCCGCCTCATTTATGAGGGAAAGACGAATCAGGAGGTAGACGAAAATGGAACCTGAGGGATGGAAGGTTGCACGATGCAGCAGCTTACCTGCAGGAAACCCTTTTGGTCCCATTTCGTGATAGGGATATCGCCCAGAGTGCCTGGGTGCCTGGGCAGGTGAACAAACAAAACCCCGCATGTGCCTGAGGAGTATGGCCAACAATGCCACCAGTCAGGTGCATAGTATTCTCTCTAGGCACTTTTAGCCCAAGAAACATAAAAAAAAAATTCTAAGGAGAAATTTTAGTTTCTGAATAGGGTTAATATTGGATAATTCTCAAGTCGTAGTGATTTACCCTCTTGAGCATTATGTAGTAGCTGCAAGCCTAGCAAATGTCTATTGAACAATAAAATATATATCGTGTTGTTGTTATTGTATACTTCTGGTCCTTGCTACCTCTTGCTCTCTCTTCCAGCTTTATTACACCTAGTTCTTTGTTTAAAATGGGAAGCTTCATGGGTAGCTCTATCGAGTTTTTCTTTTTTTTTACTATTTTCCTTTTCCTCTTTGTTTTCGCTATGTTGAATTTTGTCTCTTCAGTTGTGATACCACGGCTTTGAGTGGACACCCAGCGGCAATGATAAGATATGCTATGTGTACTATTGTCTCCTGCCTGATCAGGAGAGCATTCTTCGTTTAAAAATAAATTACATAAGTAGGATTTTCCGCATTCAGGAAACTTTGGGCTTGATTCCATGACTCGAGTTTTAAGAATTAACAAGGAAGGATGGGAAGCCACATCATCCCGCCATAGTTCAATGAAAAATGCAAAACAACTCGGATATATATTACTCCCATGAATGTTAACCTGACTGTCTTGAGATGACCCGAACCTGTCGCACGTGGTCAAGGGGGAAGAAAACTTGGCATGTAAGTGTGTTGTGAAGGCCGACTTCGTACTCTGTCCAAGTCACTCCCTGAGAATACATATTGATCGATGAGGCGCATTTCTTGAGATCTCGAGCACACAAAAATCTCTACCTGTACTATAATACCTCGTGTAGATCAATTCTCGGAGGGTTGTTAGAACTCGAGTTTATTTTCTTGGGCTCTAATTAAAGGGGTTTTCAACCAACCGTCCGATAAGCTTCTATATTAATTAACGCCTTCTAGTCTACTCTGGATGGGACGGTTAAGTGATCTACATCATAGTTGACTATCATGTCACCGAGAAACCTCGCTAAAATCCGCAGTTGATGAAACTAGTTCCAGACCACCCCATCAAGTTGTATGGCATAGACAAACAACGGGATGCTTGTTGAAGCCGGAGAGTTGTGATTGGTCAGCGTGCCGCCGATCTGAGATTCTACAGCGGGCCTTCGGCCGTCCTGTCATTCCAGTGGGCCTGCATCTGGAATGCGAAGCCCCAATCTGCTACATTCAATCCGATGGAAGAATGAACAAATATGGCTGAGGGCACAACACTGTTGCTGGGGCGTGTACGCCCCTTGTCTCCTTTTCAATTCTCTGTTTCTTTGTCTGTGTGCTCCTCCTCGAGTCTTATTACCTCCCGGGACACAGCTTGACATGTCCTTACTACTCGCAGATTGATCGAACAAAGACTCGGTTTTTAACCTGTCAAGCCGTTTGTTGAGATTATTTTAATTTCTGCCCTTAATTACTCTCCCCTGCTGAGAAATAGGAGAGAGAGAGAGTTGGTAACACAAGCCAACTGTACCAAAAGCAATTTACTACTCGCGAGAATCACCTCGATCAACTCTATATTTACAACAAAACCCCTCTATCACCAAAGAACTACAGCTCTCGAGTGCACCAACACATCCCATTTGAAGGGCCGATTGTAAACGGTTCCTATGTCTTCCAACGCGTAAACAATAAACCCCACGGAATGGCTCTTGTTCGAGACCCAGCGTTTTGGAGGCGCTTCTCACGCGCCATCCACCTAGATGAGGAAGCAAAAGCTTCAAAGACGGAAAATAAGAGCGGTGTTATCTACTCGTAAGGCCAACTGACCCTATTTCCAGCCTTTCTGCTTAGGGGCAACGATGTCTCGGTTTCCAGATTATGTTCACTAACAGTTGAACCCAGGGATGACTGGATTCTGAAGCAACGAAAGAAACGACGTCGGTGGATCTGTTGTGGCTTCTTGATATTTGCAGCGTTTGCTATAGTGGTTGCTGGTGTGGTGGTGGTTTTTTGGTGGTTCCATTCTCACAACTGGTTGCGCAAGTCATAACATGCCAGGAGGACCGACACTGGCGGTATATCAATTTGAATTTGTGTCACCATTGCCTGGCGCATGCTCACCAATACAGGTCCCGATTCTATGTGGATACGCGGGCGTCGTCCACAACGGGCAACCCACGATAACCTGGCATGGTGATGCTGAAGACCACGCGATAAGGAAGCGGCATAGAACCGCAACACTATCATTCATTTCGCCGAGCTCTTGCAAACCGACAAACTTTCATCGAGGTTCGAGTTATCATTGAGCAGGTCTCATGGGCGGTTTTTTGACTTTGAAGGCGTTGAAGGTTCAGACTTAATAGGAAATACCCAGGATGTTTCGATTCCATGATGTCACAAATGCTTCGCCTTGACCTGTTTTACTTTCTCACTGAACATGTGTGATATAGCTGGATTTAATGTATTTTCCATGATGCGATGTATGCGTTTTCGCTGGCCTTGGCTGCCTATTGGTCAGGCACAACTTCGACATCGCTTAGTCGTGGAGTGGATGAACAGTGTGGGTTCAGCCAATCAGAGGTCATGGTACGGATCATATTTATTCTACAACGGAGGAGAGATAAGAAGAGTACATACATAGGGTAGAGTAGAGTGCAAAGCGCTTGTCTGGTACAGTTGCAGTGTCCGCATGGACTTGCCTGAAAGGGTTGACTCGATATCCGGTAGTCGGCACAATATCGGTCACGTGAGGCCATACTTGACGCTCAAGTCCTATCTATCCCTGCTTTTGCAGCCATATCAATCGTGAATAATGCGATCACAGAGCAAATCATGCATAGCAGACCTAAACGATAAGTATCTTCTTTACAAAGTGCTGTATGGGAGGTAAGCCATAGCTTTATGGAGCCTGGGGGTGCCTTAATAGCTCACACCTCCGGTGGCGCTTATCAGCGGGTCCTATCGCAGTTCTCTCCGCATCTCGTTCCCCCCGCAATAAATAGAGCTCCAATTCCGCTTCGTGTTGCATTCCCCTGATTTCCTAAGGTATTCTCTTCCCCTGTAGGACTCTCCTCAGGCAAGCCTACCATTCACGATGCTTCCGCCGTTTGACTATTTTACATATCGTAGCGTTCGGTAAGTCACCACTGTCTATTCCGCTCCACTCTCTTTGCGGAGCTATAGTGTATAGCTACCTATTCGGCGATCAAGAACCAATTAACAGTCCGCAGGGATTACAAGAGAAGGGAACGGGCTGCCCGTTTCGCATCTCTCCCCGCAGCATACCATGCCCCTTTCACAACCTTTGATAAGGCCGTCATCAACAAACCAATTGAAGAGCTGGTTCAGGAGGTCCAATCCTCCTCGCTTTCGGCCGCCGACGTGCTCCAGACTTACGGCAAGGTAGCCGTCAAGGCCCACGAAAAGACCAACTGTGTAACAGAGCTCCTTCTTCCTGAAGCCGAGTCATGGCTACAGTCAGAAGTCAACCTCAAGGGCCCGTTGGCAGGTGTACCTGTTTCTTTGAAAGATTCAGTGCAGGTCAAGGGTTTCGATATCAGTCTCGGTTACACACGGCTGGCTAAAAAGCCATACAGCGAAGATGGCCCTATGACAAAGCTGTTGAAGGACGCTGGTTAGTGTTGCACACCTTGTACACGGATAGGCGTCTTCTTACCTCTTCTAGGTGCTGTACCGTATGTAAAGACGGCACTGCCAATTACCCTTCTGTCATTTGAGTCTGCAAATGCACTGTGGGGCCACTGCCGTAACCCCCATGTCCCAGAGTACTCCCCTGGAGGTTCGACTGGTGGTGAAGGCGCGATACTCGCCCTGGGTGGCCGTATCGGCATTGGCTCAGACGTCGCAGGCTCTGTTCGTGTCCCTGCTGCCTGGAGCGGTATCTATTCCCTGCGCTGCAGTACTGGTCGCTGGCCCAAGGTGGGAGTCAACACCAGCATGGCCGGCCAAGAAGGCGTTCCAAGTGTTTTCAGTCCTATGGCTCGTACATTGAACGACCTCACCTACTTCACCAAGGCCATCGTTGGCATGAAGCCCTGGAAGTACGACTATACCGTTCATCCCATTTCCTGGCGCGATGAAGAGGAGTCCGAAGCCAAGAGCAAGAGCTTGCGTATTGGGCTGATGACCAACGATGGTGAGAACACCTAACCCCTCGCTGAATAGCTCTCTCTTTCTAACTCTCCGCAGGAGTCGTGCCCCCAACCCCAGCAATTGAGCGAGCTCTGTCTACCACCGTCGCTGCTCTCACCGCAGCGGGCCACACCGTCTCCGAGATCACAACCCCAGCAACCGCCGACCCCTTCACAGGTCTCCACCTCGCGTCTCAGCTTCTTAACACAGACGGCTGCGTCACATTCAACTCCCACCGGTACAACTTCGAGCCCTCTGACCCAGGCGCTGACCAACTCACCCGCATCTGCAACCTTCCCCGCCCCCTCCGCTACCTGTACTACCTGTACGTCCGGTACATCAGACGGGACTTCAAATGGGCCAGCCTGATCCGCACATTTTCTCCCAAGTCCTCCGCCGAAACCTGGAAGCTAGTGGCCAAGCGCGAGTCATTCCGCGCTACCTGGCATGCCTGGTGGGATGCCGAGCCCCAACAGTACGACTTCATCCTCTGCCCCGTCAACGCCACCCCGGCCCTCCCGCATAAGGCCATGAGCGACGCCGTCTCCTCTTGCGGGTACACCTTCCTGTGGAACCTCCTCGACTACACGGCCGGTGTGCTCCCTGTCTCCCACGTCGACGCCAAGCGGGACGCGCTCACAGCGCCCTACAAGAAGATCCTTAAGGGCCTGGGCGCCAACAATGCCATTGCAAAGGGCGCCTGGAAGCACTACGACGCGGCGAAGATGGCTGGACTCCCCACGGCGGTGCAAGTCGTCGGCAGAAGATGGCAAGAGGAGAAGGTGCTTGGATACATGGAGGTAGTGGAGAAGGCGCTCGAACAGTACCGGGATCCGGCGACCGGGGAGAGTGGCAAGTATACGTTGATTGAACTTGACTAATTATGTTCGGTGAGGTTACATTGAAAGGTCCTAGGAATTTTGTGTCAAGCTTTCAGGTTTGACAGTTTCGGTTGTACCGAGTGTCTCTATGCTTTTTTGCCGCCTGTCACTTATCAGATGGTGGTGACATCATTTTCTCGGAAGATAGAACATAATTAGGAAAGAGTCGAGTGGATGTCGCTCAAGACATGCGAAAACTTTATGGATCTTCCATTGTGTATCAACTTTTGGGTGGGCGTCGCAATTCCATGGGTGGCTTTCTTATCAACCATAGATACTTAGCTGACACGTACCAATACCCTATCTCTCGTGAATTACTACCTTTTCCAGAACTAATTTAACTATGTACCTTTCTCCGTCTTTCTCAAATTAATCCTGATCAGAACTGTTATAGTTTTAGTCAAGTGGTTGGCATGGTTCGCAAAGGCAAAGAGAAGGTTTCTCGTGTTCAGGACACACCGCTTCGCCTCCTCGAAGCCATGCTTCCATGCGAATAAACAGAATGTCATGTGGGAACTAAGGGTTGACAAACAGCTCCATGTGGAGCGTATTCTATGCCGACTTTCTGCTTCTCGTGGTCCCAACAGACACCTACGCACTGTCGGTGACTGGCGCACGAATGTGTATAAAGAAGCAACGTACCTGTCGACGCGTCCGGGATTTGAAACTCATCGAGTACTTCTCCGTGCGATAGGTGAGTGGAGCCACGCGTGCTTGTAGCTAAGGGAATGCTCCAGCAGGGGTGGGAGCAAGGTACGTCTTACGGACGTCAGGAAATGTGGGTCATACATGTCAGCTCTGTAGCGGAGAGTTAAAGTGAGATGAGCACCCGCCCAATCCCCGCTCAGCGCGACCCGCCATGCAAGGATACTGAAGGTGCAGACCATCTAATAGTAGTAGCTGGCAGACGTGATGGCGTCCTGTAAGGATGCTGGAGAGCGTCTGCCGGTATTCCAGGCCCGTCGGTGGTCCCCGATAGCGTGCTAGGAAGTAAAGTGATTGCCAGCAATTATAGTATGCTGCGGATTCTCTGTGGCTCCGCCGTGGAGATGGGGGATGGTTAAGCAGCGAAAGTCGAATTTCCGAGTTATCGGTTTCGTATCGGGTGGGATACCAGGTTCTACTCATATTTGTCGGGGTAAATTTCGTCATCGCACGCGAATCTCTGGTAGCTGGTAGGATTAGCTGGGTCTTAACGGCGCGCGTGGCTGCAGGGGAGGCGCCTCGTGTTGTCAACTACATGGTATTGACATGCGCAAAAGAATCCTCAGAACCATATTGTCGAAAACTTCACGAGCAGACCAATAGCCATCCTGTCGTAACCGTGGATGTTGGTAGTACAGCGCTGATGGCGGCAGGGGTAGGATGGGGTCGACTACACTGAAACAGTGGTTGATGAGCAGTATTATGCGAATAGCGGTTGGGATAGGGATAGAGTGAGAAACCACCGGCCAAGCCGCATGAACCCGCAGGAGGTATGCTGATCATTTTACGATATGGATTCTTGAGATGATGGTGTGTAATTCTAGCTTTCCCCATTGGGTAGCCTCAATTCAACGCCATTAGGTGCCAGTGTCGTCACGGTGATTGTGGCAGCCGATCATATGCAGTTTGAATCAATATCTGAGGATCACACTGCTTTTTGTGAGATGTCACCTTGGCCGCTTGCATGGTGTAAGTGGTCCCCGCATATTATATCCAGGCACGCTTATGGCCTGGATTCGAATAGTCAGCAATCGATGGGGGAGCAAGGGATGATCATCCTCGGAAAAGAGAGACAATCAAATCGTTCAAGTATAAGAGTAAAATTAGAAAAAGAAAGTAAAAATGTGAGGGATCTTATTCAAGGGGGTTGCAAAGAAAAGGAAAGGAAAAATGGGAGCTGAATATTAATAATAATAAAAGTAAAAGTAAAAGTAACCAAAATCAATTAGGAAAAGGTATTCCAAATGCAAAGTCGATCCACCATGAGACTCAAGAGGAGAAGAGCTAGAACGATAACGATTATTGGTAAAATGGGCCGAACCACAAAGCTCTTGTCAGACCAAAGTTAAATTGACTTCCTGTCATCACTACTACGGTCGTTGACCCAGTTTGATCCATGAGTGAGGGAACCAAGGAAAGCAAGGAAGAGAGAGAAAGAAAGGGAAAAAAGGGTTCTTCAACTCGGAACCCACCGACACCACTTACGAAGATCGGGTGCGGGTCACGGGGGGGAGCAGGCCCGAAAAAGGCGCCTCCCACTTTCTTCATGCGTCGATCTGATCTCTCTTTTTCCCTTCTCCGACTTGTACTTTTTGCTTCCTCCCCACTATAATAACTACGACGGATCTGCTAGTTCGTTGGCTAGTCAATTAATTGTTCCAAATCCCGTTCTCAGCCTCTGTCCTCCCCCCACGAAATTTAATCCTCTCGTTCCTCTCTAACTTGCCTTCTCGTGGGCCGTGACTATCTATCTTTCCTTGATCCCCCTCGAACTATGGGCGACCATGTCGCCCATGATTAAGGCTACTTAACCGCGCGTTCCCCTTGTCCTAACTACGGCATTGGTCTCTCATTCCCCATCCCGCCGGCCACAACTTGATTCTGCCCCCACGCTCACTGAAAGTAGTAGTGGGCACCTGGCGCGCCGTGCAGCTGGTCGGCAGCAGAATGCTGGTTTTGACGCCTAAATTACAGACCGAATCTAGTTAATATATGTGATGGGCTGTGTCCGATTAAACGGTGGAAATGCCTCCAAACAAGGGCGCCGCTGGGCGCAAAAAGGACGCCATTCATTTTGTCAATGCTCGGCCGTCCTCGGAGGGAGAACGATTAAAGATACAGCGTTTGGTTAGGGCCCATGTAGGCAAATGGATTTCCGATCAGACCAAAGATCGCTCCATAGAATCTGAAGCGAATTCGAGCCGTGATGCCTCCCGGGAGAATGCCTCGCGCACTGTTGATCTCGATGGAGATGAGACGATGTTAAACTTATATCCCCCTTCGCTGTCCTGTCGATCCTCAGTTTCATCCTGTTCACCTGAATCAGTTTCCTCGAATAACAGTCTAACGGTTATACAAACCGTCCCTACTAGTGCCTGGGATGCACAGCAGACAATGTCCGTTGTCCCCACTTCTCAGTTATATCTTGACAGCACGGAACACCAGTATGACAACGAATATGAGTATGATTATGGCCACGATTCGCAGGGGTCAAGTCCAGAAACCTCCAGTCCCCCTGGTCCTATTGAGCATATCGAGACCATCGGTGCGAATTTCATTGATCCTTTTATGACCTACCCCTGGCGTCATTCTCCAGAAATCGCCAACGCATGTCAGGCATATTGTAAGTGAGAAATGAAGCATCACTGATGAATCCTTGTGACGACTGGAGAAACAATTGTTAACAGGTATCTGTAGGTACGTCCGTTCTATGGCCTACCCTTACTCCCGGTGCCAGTAGATCAGATGTCTCGGCCTTGAATTGGTTCCCCTTGATGATGTCTGAGCCGACTTTAATGACAGCCATCACGTTCGGGTCACTCTCGCACCAACGGGTGCAATGGCTGAACCGGTGGATCCCGGACGGCGCATTTCGGGAGCGAGAGCAGCAGCTTCTAAGAGTCTGCGAAATGGAGACCATCGAGCTAATCAATCAGGAAATGAAAAAGCCAGGCCGAGCAATCAGCAACGCGGTCATTTTGAGTGTGATGTGCATGGCACACAATGCAACCGATATTAGTGAAGAACGACAGTTTCGGCACATTCCGTTCACAGCACCCATGCGGCGGTTGCAATGGATCGACGTCTATGGCAGTCTGCGACCAAACCTGGTACATGTCCAAGGTTTGATCTCAATGATTAACCTACGGGGTGGCCTTGAGGCAATTGACCTGCCCGGGTTGGCTCCCGTAGTGTCTCTGTAAGTCGCTCTATGTGATTGAGATACCGATTCTAAGCTGACAGTTTGCCCTAGGTCGGATATCGTGACCTCGAGTGCATATCATACGCCTCCAGTCTTTCCTTTCTTTCCGCTTTCAGCGAAGCGGAAGAAGGTTCCGCTGCAAGACATGCTCGGGTATACGATGGTTGATGTAGACCGCCATTACGGCCGACTTCGACAGATCGGCTTGACCACAGAGATGATGGAGGTCTTCCACGCTATGGACCTTTACATGAGTATTGTGGATGCTTATCTCAAGGGAAATCAAATCAGAACGGACTACTCTTTGCTTGCCGACCAGCGTAACTTGGTCCAATACACCTTATTATCTCTCCCAGCTGCCAGTCAACTCCCTGGCTTCAGTGGCTATCATCAGCGCCATGAGATTATCTACGAAGCCTGCCGTCTCGCGGGCTGTATATATGGTTCTGGCGTGGTCTTCCCCCTACCCCCACAAAGCACCCCGCTGGCTAAACTTTCTGGTCTTCTCAAGGGTGTTCTCGAGGTTCCCGACTGCCTGACTGTCTGGGACCAGCCGCAAGCCCGCGTTACCTTTTTATGGGTTTTGACCCTGGGTGGCATCGCGGCCGAGGGCACCGTGGACCGAGACTGGTATGTGGCCACGCTTATGCAGACAGCACGGTATAGTCATATTACCTGCTGGGCCGACCTTCGGGCAATCGTCGTGCTGCTACCCTGGTATGATGCAGCCTGTGACGATGCGGGCAACAACCTCTGGCTGGAAATCGAGAGACTGTCCGCTCGTTCATCGAACTCAAATTGAACGTGTCTGATACCTGTTATGTAGCACTGTTCTAGGAAAATAGTGCATTTAGATTGGGGGGTGTTATCGGCTAGCGTTGCCCCTTGGTTTGCTTTCTTATACATTATGTCATCCATCCTCTCTTACCCCCCCTGATTTTCTCAATTTCTTCCACAGCACAAAAGTTGAGGCGGGCTATGATTAATGACAATTATGAGGATTTCAGAAGGAGTACTGGTTTTTTGGTGAGTTGGGTTAGAGATCAATGCTTTGCTCACCTGGGATATTCTCAGTCCTGTATAATATGTGTGGATTATATATACCTAATTAAGTTAATGTTGCATTGGGATGCGTTCACACCACAACATTACAGATATCTTGTTAATTTGATCAAACGAATGCAGTACATACAGAAGCACAACAATGACCGCTTATCCGTTCTCGCTGGTCACACATGATATATATCTCTACCGCACAAAACCAAATATCAAGTTACGCTACGCTACAACCAATGAATGCTACGATGGACCTGAAATGCCGTATGAGGGTGACTCTGCATGCCGCGCCACGTTCGACGGAGGCCGATACAACAGGGGTTCCCGCTCCCAGTCCCTACTCGCGATACCATCATGATCGTCGGGAACATGGACGTCCCCATTTTCCAGAGCTCCTAGCTCTGGCTTCGTAATATAAATGGTCCTTGCTTTCCACCAAACGAAACCAACCAGTCCGATGCCGACCAAACAGGTCACGAGGGTGAGGATAGAATTTACGGGAATCGGGTTGCGGTGAAATACCTTGAAGGTGAGGGCGTCAAGACCAGCTTGTGCGAAATTGCCCAATCCCGATAGACAGATGATGAGTCCATAGACCTTGCCGAATGTCTGGAAGCCGAATACCTTGGCTGCGTAGTCCGACACAGCGGTGTAGTAGAACGGGCGGTAAATGACGAAGATGGCGATGTTCGTGTATCCGGCTTCAATGCTATGGGGAATGCAACCGAGAACACCAATCACGGTTGCGGTTGATACGAGTACGAGGAGGACAAAAGGGGTACTTGCATTGTCGAGGATAGCGCCAATAAACGGCACAGAAACGAGACCGCCAAGGGGAAGAAAGAAATCAAATAGCTCGTTGATCTTGCGGGCTTGTTCGGGAGACCCGAACAGGTATTCATACTGCTGGCGCATTGACGCCACGAAGTAGTTGATTCGGAGCATCTGGAGGACAGTGAAAAGGGTGATGAGGACGAACCATGGGGATCGAACTTGTTGCAGAGCCGAGCAGCCGTGCATTGCGCCCCAGACCCCGCCGGTGGTGTTCTGGGGCTTTGTTGCTGGTGGGGTATCTGGGTCGCCTCCGTTGGCTCTCAGTGCCGGTTCTTCGTTTCTCGAGACGTGGTCAGTCTCTGTTAGGAGATCCTGGATCTTATTGACGATATCTTGCCGCTGGACGCGACGGTCATTTCGTTGCCGTTCACCTTCATTCCTATCTGAGATATCGTCGTCCACTCTGTCGTTCGCTTCGGCGGAGATCTCAGCTTCTGCTTGCTGGACTAGCTCCCCAGCAGTTTTATAAGAAGTTGCTGGCATTATGGTAAGCTGTGCGGCTAGTATAAGCACTGGAACAATGAGATAAGCTAGGAAGAATCTTCCGGTTGTGAACCGGCCGTTTGTGTTCTCGTTAACCAGGCGGAATATTAAGAAGAGTGCGCTGGATGCATCGAATGCGCCTGTAAGCATGGATAGGATCAAACCTGAGCGGGTAGGAAATGTATTCGAAAGATGGAAGGATGAGATGAATATGAACGGCCCGCCCAAAGACAAGAAAAGATACCCTGGGATGTACCCGTCGAAACCGATGCTGCTCGAAAGTCCAAAAAGTGCAGCACCAAGACAAAGAAAACCGCTTCCAATGATACCACACACGCGTGGGCCATAAGTGTCTAGAATAGTTCCGACTGGAAGGGCAGATACATTGGTCGCCACGGCGGCTATGGTGAACATCAGGTTGAGGCTAAGCGTGGTGTGAGTTATAACTCGAGCAGAGCAATTTGCTGACGTACTTACCGAAGTTCCTGTGAGTAGCACACATCTTGGCGTTCATTTAGCTCCTCTTTTGAGCACATATTGTGGTAAACGCCTTCTCGGATTAACACTGGCTTCAGTGCCGCGAAACCAAAGACAACGCCCGCAGCAAGGAAACAGTAGATTACTGCAGTACAGATCTGCACTATGAAAGATGAGCATCAACTAGAGGTAAAGGGAGGTATTAAGGCCTACAAATCCGTTTTGCCCGACCAACTTCAAACGCGCCCGTTGTCTCTAGTAGCGACGCTTCCTGCTGTTTTACAAGACCATTTTGTGTCACCCTGCTTTCTCCCTCTATGTGACCAGGTCGAGGTATCTGAGAAGGTACTCTCAGGAGAGAGGTACGCTCGTCTCCCGCATCCTCTACCGATGCCTCATTCCAGCCTGGTCCGGCATAAGGGTTGAAATTCAGGCGCTGCCTGGAGACTGGAAAGCTAAATGTCGAAGGGAACGACGACGATAGCGACTCTTCCGGAAGTTCTTGATATGCCGCATCATCTTCTGAATCGAGTACTGATGATTGGTCTTGGCGACGGATTGTGGCAGGATTATGTTCCCATGACTCCAAATAGGAGACTCGAGGTAGGGACATACTAGGTACACTCGGTCTAAACTCAGAAAAGAATGACAGCAAGGGCTTCGGTTAGGGAATACCTTGCCCGACTTCCCTTTTTCGGGGCGGTATTACAAGGAGGTCAAATGCTAGCTCAAGGAGGGAATAGTGCTCCTTGCAGCATCCAAGCCGCTATACGAGCTGGCCAGAAAAATCAAAGCTAAGCACTGTTCAAGCAGACTGAAACAATAGATCTGATAGGATAAAATAAAACCGGTTAAAAAGTACTACTCGAAAGGAGTGAAGGATCACGACACAGCGTTTTAAGGGGCTCAATGGTGTCCAGAGCAGGAAAGATGGAAGCTGTGGGTAAGAGGAGGTGGTCATGATGATCATATCGATGATGATGATGATCTTCAGCGTGACCTTCTTCTTTGGTACTAGCTCCAATAACTCGAAACCGGATCCATGAGATCAGCACATGATCCCGCGCGGCCCACGTGACGTCCATGCAGGGCTTGTCGTGCCAAGAAATGGCAACTTTACCTCCAACTGCTTCTTGGCACCACCGAGTGCACACAGCACACATGGCCGATTCCCACGCCGGTGGGCCCCTTAGGATCCTCCGGTAGTGGTACTCACTTTTATTCGAAGAGCCCTGCCACAATCGACAGGACCATGCCGAACTGAGTATGATTCGCCCGGGTGCTTCAGCCAGGTACCAACATTCGGACCTTATACTACTAATACTATTCCCAAACAATACATCAAAGCCGGCACCAGATGGACGGGAAAAAATAAGGGCACTGACTCGCCGGTGGGCCATCATTCCCTAGCTGACTCGCACAGTCCCTAGTGTGTCGGCTTAGTCTGATGGAAGAAGGGCTGGACCATGATCTCTTCATGTTGAGCATCCAACAATTAGCCGATCTAGCGGCAGCAAGCAATTTCTTGTATAAACATCGCCGAGATTTAGTTTTTCTTGTCCAGGTAACGGCAGAAACTCATATCAGCATCGGTACGAGAAATGTCTCTGATAAAGTTCACCTGTCTCGTACTAGCTATGAGGTTTGGATGGAACTAGCGCACAAGGCGGCATACCTCATCAATGGTGTACGAACGATGAACATGTCTAGTGGTCCCCTGAATTTCATACATTACAATAGTGCATTGGGAACAACTGCGTTGTGCAAGTCCAAGAAAAACCGGCGAACTTACGCCGGCTTACTGGCTGCAGATCGTAGAAGTTCGAACCCACCGATGTTAATCTATGTGGAGGATGAGCCAGTCGTCGAAACACACGGATTACGAACATTCAGGGTTCAGCCTATAAGGTCGCCATGGTTCAATGCCACCACAAATCAAATGGGGAAAGGGAAAAAAAAAAAAAAAAAAAAAAAAAAGCTATGGTCCATGCGTGTGAGCACCAGTTGGATGGCTCACCCACGACTTGAAACCAGGCCCGCTGGATGCAATGGGCAACTGTGGAAAACTGAAGGATGAATTAAACAATTCTGGAAACTCCGTGCTCCACCACGAGATATAGTGAGGCTACGGACGCTATCCGAAAGTCTCAGGTGGCCATGATAGGCATGGCCGTTCGACGATGCCTGGGGCTATCAGCCCAACTGAGTTAAGCGTGAATAACCGCTCCAACAACCATCTCCAAGGGTCGAAGATTGAATGGGCCCTAAGCAAAAGGGACTGCAGTTTGAAATGCCGTAACGTTGTTCATTAACCTAAAATAAATTCTCCGGCACGCAATGCTTTCCCAGTTTAATATTGAGACCTTCTCCTTTTGGAAGGGATCAGAGGTGGGCGTGCCAAACGGCCAGGCACTTCATCGGTGGAAGACTATAGATGGGCCCGGCTCTTTCCAGTCCGTTGCGGGCATTTCATCCAGAGACGATCATCGGCACGTTGCGGATTATCATCAGCGTTGCTGGCACACAGGGTCTCCGGCCTATACCTACGAGTAACCGGGGAGACCAGCAGCTGTAGTGATGTCCACATTTACTCTAGCGCCAAGGACGACCTTCTGTAACTCCTCCTTAAGTCTGTCCATCGACAATCTGTTACATTAGTTTTCTCTTTCCTTTTATTGTCCTCTCCTTCTTGTGGCCTAGTACGGTGGCAATCGCCTCCACCGTAGAGGAACCGTCCCTGCGTCGGGCCTTGAACCGTTCAACATTAATTTCGGATTGTCCAGTACGACTTATCACGATAACTTGTCACTGACGCGGTCACGTTTAGCCTCACCTTAGCGTCCGTGACCTTTCCCACTCCTTCTCCTCTCTGCTTATGCCCGCTTTATATGACTCGTTGTCCGTTGCCTTCCCCGGCGTTGATGTTCTCTCTGCTGATTCATGGCTGTTGCGGGTATCTCTAGCCGAGAAACAGCTTTGAGTATATCGTAATGAGGGGATGGTGAGTCCGGAGGCAACCAATCTTGCTCCTTTTCGCCGCGCCAGCCGCTTGTCTAACGCTTGCACCCTGCTTACAGTCTTACATGTCGCCAGCGCCATCTGAAATGTAACCCATTCACCTGCCTCAACCGTCCAGAACCCTAACATTACGCTTTAGGTGACAAGACTGGGGCCGTGTGCTTACGTTGTCAACGATCGGGCCGGCAGTGCATTCCTGCACCATCGAAACCAGAGGAGGTTACTTTTCGACACGGCCAGAATCCATCCTTGCGGCCTAAAGGGCCTCCTCGTTATGGAGAAAGCGACTTAGCATTTCCAGATGATCAAATCTGGGTTAATACACCCCCTGAAGGTGCGTTTTATCTTCAGGTTAATGTTGCAGATGGTGGGAGGCCGACGCATACTAACCGCCCCGCAGTTGCTTTTGAAGACGAGACAGACCGTACAGCGGCCGACTACCACGTTGTGCAATCTGGAGCGTCTTCATTGTACCTGAAGAAAGCCTCTGAACGTCGATTGTCAACCTCGGTGTCGACGTTGCCACCATCAACATCTTCCCTCCTGTCCCCTGCTCTTTCTCCGGGAGGTCCGGAGTCGTTCCAATCGCTGCCTGATTTCCCCCACGGCACGATCAATAACCTGCTGCCGGCAGACACTATGGGAGATCACCAGAAACTGGGCAACCTGAATGAGGCCTTTCTCCTTCGACACTTCCGAAGAACAATCGGTGCATGGGTGCTGAACACTTCTGCCGAGCTAGAAATAGGAGCATCGCTAATGTTGGTTATATATGCAGATGGATGTATGCGACCATGAGAGGCACTTCTCAGTGGATGTGGTCGAACGAGCACCTTCGTCCTCCCTACTGTTGTATGCCTGCTTAGCTACCGCCGCCCGTCACCTCTCTCAAACGAACAACTCAGTCCCGCCAAACGCTGCAGATCAATACCACGAGCAATGCATTGCAATTCTACTGCCCGTGGTGGAAAACACTGACTTTAAAATTAACATCGAGGTACTTCTCGCCTCGACAGTGATACTACGCTGTTTTGAACAACTTTCTTGTGGGTGAATACCAGATGTATCTTGAGTGAGTGTAGTGTTTACTGACAAATTCCGCAGCTTGTGCCCTGTCGCAAGACCTACAACGACACCTCTTGGCTGGTTCAGTGTACATCGGTTCTCATGTCGATTGTGCGTTTTCTGGTGGTCTTGCAGAGGCGTCGTTCTGGGCCTTTGTGATGCAGGATGTGCAGTTCGCATTGGCGACCCGAAGCCCTCTGCGTTTGACCATTGGCCCTTTCGAAGAAAGGCTACGCCTCGCCTGGGAATACCGTAGCGCCAAAACCGACCGGGATTGGGCCCATCGAGCTCTATGGCTGCTAGCCCAGACTATTAACTACTGCTATGAACCAAGTAGCCCGGCTCACTTGAGTTCCGTTCTTTGGGATGTCCTGAAAAAGAAAATTTGTGATTGGGAGATGCGATGGCCAGATAGCTTCCGGCCATTACATTTCTCTCCTGCCACTACAAGCCTTGGGAGACCCTTTCCTGTTGTTTGGTTTACCAGCGCATCACACGGTATGTTCTCGGTCTATCATCGCCTGTATACAGTTACATTGACAGCTAATGCTCAAGCAGCTACCGCAGCGCAACAGATATGCATGGCCAAAGCTTTGATACATGAGTATGAGTTGAGAACTCATCAGTTCGCGGCTAGCCCAAATCAAGGTCGCAAGTTAATCGAGGTTGTTCTAGAACTCCACAACTGAAAACATATTACTGACTATAAACATAGAATGCTATCGTGAGAAACCTGAATATCGTTTTAGGCATTGCCCTTTCGGCCGACGATGACCCTCCCGTTCGCATCATGGCCTGCCATGCGCTGTCTGCTTGTAAGTGCATCACGACAAACCTTGGATCCCATTGCATTGTGGTACCCTTTGTTAGAAGGCCGCTACTCAACACTTCAGGGGTCATACGCTGTTTAGTCGCTAGTGTACTAACCCATCAATAGGCGGCTCCTGGATACGTGACCCACTAGCGCAAGCGTGTCTTTTAGACCTACTTCGACGGACAGAAGCAGAGAACGGATGGCCATGGACATCTCTGGCGCAAGCACTAAGTCAAAGCTGGCGTATGACAGCGGAATAGAACGGCTGCCATGGTACACATTTTACGTCAAGCGTGCCCTTCCACACATACACTTTCCTCTTCTTGTCCTATATAGTTAGCGCACTCAGACAGAGTTACATGTAATGTCGACACAATTATTCCCAACAGACGAGTCTAGTGAGGCAAGATCTAACGAGCCTAAAATCCACACGACGACAAGCGGGATAGACCCAAGCTAAACTATTTGCTCTAGGGCGATTTGGGGCTCTCGCCGTTGCTTCGCATCCCCACCCTCGTGGGAGCCGTGTGGGGACACTTCCATATGCCGCAATGCAGAAAAGCCTTAGCCCAACTGAGTCCGAAGCAGTACTTTGGAAGTACTACGTAGTACATGGTCTATTTTTGTGGAGCTTTGGTTCGTTTTCTTCGGCGGCCCCAGCCGCCGGGCTTATTGTGCATCTAGGCTGCGACATGGTAGCTTATCTGGGCCAAGGA